CTAGCGTGCAAATAGTATATTTGATGTGTGTTCTTACTTAGGGTTTATTTCATAAGTAACTGTAAAGGTCTGGGTCCTCAGGTTGCAGGCAACAGAAATTGACTTTGGGTAATTTAAGAAGAAGGGAATCTCCTGGAAATTTATCAGGAACTCAGTAAATCAATTGGAAAGCTGATAACAGCTCAGTCATTACCTGAGGGTGCTCTGCAGGGTTGAGAATGCTCTAGACCAAGAACAATCATGTCAAGACATCACAACTGGAAAGAATGGGAATCCAACAGCTTCTTCCATCATGGAATTCCTCACATAAGATGCTGGTTCCCTGGGTTTCTGAGAAAGTGTGATGAAAGCTGGTTTTATTTGGCATTCTTAGTGGGAGGGAGGCACCTGGATTTATGACTCCACCAAGACAATCCAATACAAAAAATGTAATTCTCCAAAGACAATTTTGTCCTACAGGAAGGAGAAGTGGACGCAGAGTCGTAAAAATACTAAACACACATGTACGTGACTATTTACTCCAATAGTAAATACTAATGTATTTATATTTTACTTTTTATATGTATGCATTCGTGTGTGTACATAGATCTATGACAGTTTATAAAAATTTCAAAATATTAAGACGGTACAAATGTTTTTGTTACATGGATACCTTGTATAATGCTTAAGTCAGGGTTTCTCGTAGGTCTGTCAACAGAATAGTCTTCATTACACTCCATAGTAAAGTTTTAATCCCACACCTCCCCTCACACCCTCCCCCCTTCTTGGTTTCCAATGTCCTTTGTATCTCTTCGTGCTTATATATACCCACTGTTGATCTCCCACTTATTAGTGAGAGCATGTGGTGTTTAGTTTTCCATTCCTGAGATACTTAGGAAAATCATCTCCAGTTCCATCCAAGTTACTGCAAATGACATTATTTTATTCTTTTTTTATGGCTGAGTAGTACTCTGTGGTATGTACGTGTTTTTATTAATAATTATGAATATTTAACAAAATAAACCATGAGTAAGAACACAGATTAAAGAAAACTCCACATTTTCTTTATCCACTCATCAGTTGGTGAGCACTTAGGTTAATTCCACATCTTTGCAATTATGAATTATGCTGTGATAAATATTTGAATGCAGTTGTTCTTTTTTATAAAATTATTTCTTTTCCTTTGGGTAGATACTAAGTAGTGGGATTGCTGGATCCAATGGTAAGTCTACATTTATTTCTTTGAGAAATTTCCATACTATTTTCCACAGAGGTAGAACTAATTTGCAGTCCCACCAGCAGTGTATAAGTATTCCTTTCTCTCTGCATCCATGCCAGCATCTATTGTGTTTTGACTTTTTAATGATGGCCATTCTGATAAAGGTAAGGTGGTATCTCATTGTCATTTTAATTTGCATTTTCCTGATGATTAGTGATATAGAGTATTTTTTCATATGTTTGTAGGCCATTTGTCTATCTTCTTTGAAAAATTTCAATTCATGTTTTTTGCCCACTTTTAGATATTTTTTCTGCATTTGAGTTCTTTGTAGAGTCTAGATATTAATCCTGTGTTGGATGTATAGTTTATGAATATTTTCTCCCATTCTGTAGGTTGTCTATTCACTATGTTGATTATTTTCTTTGCTGTGAAGAATTTAAATTAAATCTCATTTATTTATTTTTGTTGTTGCTGTATTTACCATTGAGATCTTAGTCATAAAACCTTTGTCTAGGCTAATGTCTAGAGGAGTTTTTCCTATATTTTCTTCTAGAATTTTTATGGTTTCATACTTACAGTTAAGTCTTTCATGCATCTTGAATTAATTTTTGTATATGGCAAAAGACATGGGTCCTGTTTCATACTTCTGTATGTACCTATCTGATTTTCCCACCACCATTTATTGAATAAGGTATGCTTTCACCAGTACATGGTTATTGTCTGCTTTGTCAAAGATCAGTTTGTCATAGCTATATGGTTTTATTTTGGGGTTCTCTATTCTTTTTCATGATATCTACTTTTATACCAATACTATGCTGTTTTGGTTACTAGAGCCTTAGTATAATTTGAAGTCAGGTACTGAGATGCCTCCAGATTTGTTATTTTTGCTTAGAATTGCTTTGACTTTTCAGGGTCTTTTTTGGTTCTAAATGAAGTTTAGGATTACCTTTTCTAAGTTTGTAAAATGAGATGTTGGTATTTTGGTGGGGATTGAGTTGAATCTGTAAATCACTTTGGGCAGTAGGAACATTTTAGTGATGTTGAATCTGCCAATCTATGAACAAGGGATGTTTTTCTATTTGTGTTATCTGTGATTTCTTTCATCAGTGTTTTGTAGTTTTCCTTATAGAGATCTTTCAGCTCCTTGGTTAAGTATATTCCTAGATATTTTATTTTCTTTGTAGCTATTGTGAATTCTATTGAGTCCTTGATTTGACTCTCAGCTTGACTATTATTAGTATATAGAAATGCTACTGATTTGTGTACAATCATTTTGTAACCTGAGACATTGGTGAATTTATTTATCAATTCTAGGAGTCTTTTGGTGGAGTCTTTAGGGCTTTCTAGATACTAAATCATATTGTCAGCAAACAGGGATAGTTTGACCTCCTCTGTCCTTATTTCTTTCTCTTGCAGTGGCACCACGGAGATGGCAAAAATGGTAGCAACAGATGCTGAGGGCTCATAGGTGCCTGCTCTGCTTGTATCCTTGGGAGGTGGGGGTTGTTGTCGTATGGGGGGGGTTGTTTAGCAGGGGCACAGCTTCCTGTCACCATGTGCATGAGAGCACCTGGCCTTTCCTCCCCCTCCCTGACCTGGAAGGGGTAATGGGGAGTCAGGTGCAGTGGAGCTCACCTCTCTGCAGACCAGGCGCTCTGGGGCTGAGAGCACAGATTGGCGTCTGTTGCAGGGATCTGAGACCAGAAGTTGGCAGGACTCACTGTGCCTTCTCTCTGGTGCAATGCTGCTGCTCCAAGCAGCTCCCCATCGGTTTGGAGTCCTACTGTGGTGGGGGAGCCCCCTGGCAGCTCAGATTTCAGTGTTGGCTGGGGGGAGTCCTGGGAATCTCTTCCCTAAACCCTTCCTTATTTGTGGATGCTTTCCCCCTCCTCCCCCTACCTACTGATCTTGTCTTGCTGAATTTCTGCCTCTCTCTCCCTCTCTTTCAGTGTCTCCAGGTGCTTATCTGAGGACTCACAATGCTGTCTCCTAGACAGTCCATCCATGGGTGAGCCTCTACCTGCAACCTTTGATCCTCTCCTTGAGAGCAGGGAGTGCAGGCTGCTTCTAGTCCTCCATCATGATCCCTCCCCTGTGCCACTTTGTCGGAGTATCTTGCAATAATAGTGCTTACTTAATACCTCATGAGCAAAGTTTTACAGATTTAATATGGATTTTGAAGGCCAGGAAACACTTCTTAAGCTTCTCTTCTGGAAATAATTTTACTTTAATATGAATGATTTCTTTTTTAGGATCAAGCCTAGAAGAAATGAGGGTAACGCACTGAATCAAAAGCACATCTGTTGATTTATGAAGTGCTTCACTAATGGCTTGGACTTAAACAGATCATTAATTTGATAATTATTGAAAAGGTGGATGCAAATGCATAGAGAGAGGAGATGAAATTTATAGCAGGATTTAACTGTTCTCACTACAAAAATGATAACTATGTGAGGTAAAGCACATGTTAATTATCTATATTTAACCATTCCACAGTGTGTATATATATATATTTCAAAACATAATAGTGTACATGATAAATATATACAATTCTGTCAATTAAAATAATAAATTTTTTACAAAAGAAATTATAGCAGGATCACTGGCCTTTTGATATAACCAGGTGTAGAGGAGTTTGTCTCATGGTACAAAGTAGGTAGTTGGAAAATAAAAAGGCAATGAATCTGTAATCGTCCAGCCTAAATCATTTGAAACACTGTGAATATAAACATAAAATTATCAGATTTTGAACTTCATAAGTAAATCTTTTATATTAATTTCATTTATAGAAAGAGTAAATTGTTATTTAGCTATATTTGTGGATGATAAATCTTGATCAAATTCAATAGACTGAAATTTTAATTAAAAAGTGGGGTTATTACATTATTTTAAGTCCATATACAAATACAATTAAGAAGCCTAACTTTTTTTTAAAAAAAATATTCCTGTTAAAATATGTCTTAGCAATTTGAAAACGCTGACATCTATAATTTATTTATTTATTTCAACATATTATGGGGGTACAAATTTCAAATAATGCTGTTGCCCCCCTCCCCCCACAAGTCTGTGTGTCAAGCATGACCATCCCCCAGACAGTGCACATCTCACTCATTATGTATGCATATACCCGCCCCCTCCTCGCCCTCCCACCCACCCAATACCCAATTAATGTAGCTCCTATGTGTCCACTTAGGTGCTGATCAGTTATACCAATTTGCTGGTGAGTATATGTGGTGCTTGTTTTTCCATTCTTGGGATACTTCACTTAGTAGTATAGGTTCCAGCTCTATTCAGGAAAATATAAGATGTGCTATATCACCATTGTTTCTTAGAGCTGAATAGTACTCCATGGTATACATATACCATATTTTATTAATCCACTCATGAATTGATGGGCACTTGAGTTGTTTCCACAGCTTTGCAATTGTGAATTGTGCTGCTAAAAACATTCGAGTGTAGGTGTCTTTTATTTAAAAAAGGATTCTAAGCTATTACATTTTGAATTTTGATTTTTTTGTTAGTGGCTTGATGTATAATTACTGACACACATTGTCTGCAAAACAAGTTTGCTTTCAGGAGAAGAAAGTGGGCATTTCAAAGGTACTAGTAGAGTTAAATGTTATTTCACTGGGCGAGCCAAAAGAGATTTGCTTTTGTCTGTGTAATTTCCTTTTAAATCCAATGAAGTTGTGACTTAATTTTTTTTTTTTTTTTTTTTTTTTTTTTTTTTTTTTTTTTTTACAATTCTGCCATAATGGTGTTCAGTTGAGGTTGGTCTTTTTTTTCTCCCTTAGCTGTCCTAGTGTGGGTGTACTTTATTCCCTCCCAGGCTGAGTATGTAAGAATTACAGTATGGTCTACTCTCATCTGTTGCCCTAGAGATATGGGGTTTTACGAGTATGCCAATCATTTAAAAACTAAAACAGGAAGTGAATGGTAATGTGTTTGGTCTCCAAGGTGAAAAGTCAACAGATTCTACCTTATTGTAATTTTTGTAATGATGAATCATTAGCCAGTGGAATTAACATATTTTGTGTGGTCTTGAAAACAACAGTGTGGAATTATCAAACAAAATCTTAATCAAAGATCTTTAAAGTAAGGATAATACCTCCCTAGAACCTGGAGGAGCTTTGGTGGAGAAACTGCTGGACCAGAAGGAGAACTCGATCACAGGAGAAAGCTGTGCAAGAAGAAGAGAAGCTGGGATGCTGTACCTTGGGTAGAAGTGGGCTGGGCTTCTCTCTCTCAGTTTCCTTCTATCCTCCTACTCCCTCTGCTACCTCCACTCCTCTCAAGTCCCATAGAAGCCTTTGTCTATGGGGGTGGTTACTATAGCTGGGCTTAAAGTCTTTCTTTTATTATTCCTACAAAAAATCTCCCTGGAGTAGGCTAATATTATCACCATTTTACAGATGAAGTAGCATATGTCACTAGCCCACAATTATAAAGAAAATGAAAAAGCAGAAATTAGAAAATTGTTCTGTGCTTAGTTACCTAAAAAAGGTTCATAATATCCATGTGATTAATCCCAGAGTAAGTGGCATGAAGGTTCAGAAATAGCTGGAAAATTCAGAAGAAAAATTCTCCCTTTACCTCTAAAGATTTTCCCTCCCCTTTTTCCCCCTCAATACATTTCAGTGGGAAACTTCTCAATACTTTCAGAAAATGAGAAAGAAAAAAAAACATTAACTTTCCTTCCTCTGCCAAACATTTTTAAGGTAGGTTTTCATATCTCAATCCAGAGAGAGTAGAAAATTGGGTACTGTCTTGAGACTCAGTATTTTAGTGGCAGGGAGATCCTGTGTACTTATTTAAAACAGGTATCTGGAGCGAAGTTTCTGCAGCAAGGAGCAGAAGGAGGTGTGGCCACCAGTGGATGCCAAGATAACCTTGCAGTGTTCATGCATAAGCAGCAGCACATAATGGCCTCTCTACCGCAAGTCACCGAGGCCATGACGAAGGTGGGTTGCTGGGCAAAGCCCTAGCAACGGTGTCCTTTAGGACACGTGTTTGCAGCCATTTTAGGATCTTTCTTCCCCTCTGTCTGTTTCTTTGGCTCATGTCACTTGTTCAAATCTAGGGCAACTAAAAGCAGAAGTTAATTTAGTAATATTAGATCCCAGAGAGGTGGAGCTATGGGAAACACCGAAGAATGTGGTGTACTGAATCACTTACTGATTTTTTTCTTATTTTAACTCTATTTGGTGCTTAGATAAGCTTCACCATATCACAAGCCTACAAGCCTCAGTGACCTCACTGGCCAAATGGAGCCCATCTTCTTGGTCTTGGCAGGATGTCTTTGAGTTAAGATAGGTTATGGTTTAGGCACAGTAGAAGTTGGATCTATATTGAAACTTTGGTATGACCTGGGATTATAAACAAGGCTTTTCAGATGAGGGCAGAATTCCACATTTTGGAGTTACATGTTGGAGCCTTCTATATAAATAACAATGTAGAAATGTTCTCACAGAGCACCACAGTGTTCAGAACTCAGATCTGCAGTTTCATAGTTGGTCGTTACTTCAGTCTCTCCAAGTTTGTATAACTGCCTCAAAATCACTCAAAAACAGAATCTCATGTTCTCTGCTTGTAAAAACACCACTTAGTCTCCTAGGGCTTAATAAATTGAAAGTTTTACTACTTAGAAAATGATCAGGTGTCAAGAGAAGCACAAAATGTACTATCATTTTCCGAAGGTTAATAAGCTTTTTCTGTTTGCTTTTTTTTTGCTCCACAGCATTACCATCTCACGTGAGGCTGCTTCTCCAGATGAAGCAGAGATTGAAATGTCACACCAGCATGATCAATTAGATGATGTAGAATAGAGAGGCATTTGCTACCTGACCTTAATCCACGGGGCAAGAATGACTGAGTGGAGAAGATTAAATATAGAGAGACTCAAAGGTAGAGGAAATCAGCATAGAGCATATAAATAGACACAAAGCGGTATAAATGGTGACTGATGACAAAAAGAACTTCTTCAGGATGAATGCTTATGATGGGGTATCCTGGTTCACTCATTTGTTCAATTCTGAGAGATTACAAGATGAAATAAACGCCTGTTAACAAAAAGAAATATGGTAGAAAAGGAAGCAGGTAAGTTTTTCAAAAAGTCTAGATTTTGTATGACTTAACTTGCTTAACAAAACTGACAAGGAGAAAGATAGATGCAAAATATATTCGGGCTGTAGGATGTCCTATGAAGAAGGCAGCAGATGATCTGACTACGAAGGGAACATGATAGCTGTCTTCCTGTATTTGAAGGCTTGTCACTGCAAGAAGGATTAGACATATTTTGGTAGGAGTGACAGAGAGGGGGTTTTGACTTAGTGTAAGGAATGACTTCCCGATATTTGAAACCTGACAAGTGTCAAGGAGCAGCCTTGCCCAGCTCCTCATTCCTGGATCAATGGATAAATACTCTTGTAGAGGGAGTCATGCATTAAATGAAAGGACCTCAATCATCCCCTAATATGCTTTCTCTGGAGCCTTAAATCACCTTAGAGACGTTTGAAATGGTTTTGCAGTTTGTTCAGGCACAAAACTGAATGAACTTTGACGTTTCTTAGGCTTTGATAGAATTAATTTTTCTGAGCAGCATGCATGTGCATTGTAAGCCTTCGAATGGTTGCTGGTATATTTAGATTATGGGCAGCTGGTGTTAGCTAAGAGATTATTGGATTAATCATCCCTAGTAACAGTGATATGAAATGTTTCTACCTGATTGTTAATTGATATGTACTATGTTGACTCTTTCAGTTTCATATTTGTTTTTCATTTCCAGTCAAACACAGCTTAATGTAAAAGTGTTGTGTTTGGGACTATGCTTACCAGAACAAACCACTATTTTTTCTAGAGTCCATTGGTTGTTTCCGTTTGTGAGGTTCAATTTTGAGATATCAGTTTATCATAGCTGTGAGAAAACTAGCAGAAGGCAGAGAGGAAAGCCATGGAAACAGTGAAAGGACCAGGAAAATAACATGAGAACATGTATTGTGAGGATAATGTTTACAGTTGTTTTGCATGCCACTTTTCCTTGTGCAGCTATTCAATTACATACATGTAAAAAAACCCCCCAAAACCAAATACATACATGTAAGAATACATAGATGTTGATCAACTGGTATACAGCCAAGTGTGGACTACTAGTTTATGAAGGCTAATATAGAGATGTGGGCATGAACTTTAAGATGGTCACATAGTAGGTCCCCGGCCTTTAACAAATCTTCATTGGATTAAATTGAATTCAGTGTTAGTTTTAATATAAGCATCATGCTGATAGTGAACATCATTAAACTTTAAAATGTGTTCCCAGGGAACACCGTGGCATCTGCATTTGAGAACATCTTTTAAATTGGATAGTTAATTATCTGTTAAGAATAAAAGCAGAGGAATAATTCTGAGTATAAGGACTCATACATTTTTTGGTTTTGCTTGTGTGCTTTGCTTGTGTGTAAGCAAAGCACCAAATCTCTAACTCAAGGGTAAAGTAACAAATCCATAAAAGATGACTAGGTAGAAAGAATCTTCTCATCTGAAATCTCAGTTTTCCTCTAAATACAAAGTATATGAGAGTCTTAGTTCTGCATTATAAAATTTCCTGGTAACAAATCATCACATATGTTCCTGAGAGTACCCAGTATGTGCTGCAAACCTGCCGTAGCTCTGGGGAGAAATGGATTTTGGGGCAAAGGGGGATAGAATAAAAATGTGGCTTTTCTTTATAAAAGCAACTGCATGGAGGACATATCGTTCCGGAGAAAATAGTGCCAATAGGGATTAATAGTTTCAAGTTGGAATAGAATTATAATTATCCTGTTGGAGAAACTTTCTGTTCCTCTGTTTCTGGCGAATGAGCTCTGTACTAGATGTTTGGTGGTCACCTCTCTAGCATCCATTACTTCCCTTCTCCTGCCGCCTACAGGGGAGGATTCACTCCCTGCTCCCCCAGCCCAGTCTCAGCTAGGAAGCTCAGGTAGTGGCGACCCACTCACACCCGCAGGTGTGGGCTCTGATTTACTCATTCTAGTCAGCATATCCCAGCTTCCCTGTCCACATGGAATGAGCAAGTAACATAATCAGGTCAACAACAATGTGAATTACAGAAAAGACTATAAAGACTTTCTTTTTCTCTGGATGATGTGGGAAGAAGACGTGAGGGCTGAAACTGCTGTAACCATTTTGCTGCTAGGAGGGAGAAGCCAGATCCCACGAAGATGAAGCTGATTTACTCTCTGTTCTTTAGTTTCCTCTTCTTTAAAATGGGATGGTATGGCACCTTCCTTCTACATGTGTTGGGAAATTAAATTGCTTGCTGTATGTAAGATGCTTATAATAGTAAGCACTCAAAATAATAAAAGCTTTATTCTCCCCCCAAAAAAACCAACATAACATAATAATTTTTTGACCTGAGCTGTCTGATTAATTGTATTTGATTTTTCGAATTAATTTTTCCCCCATTGGCTGTATGTTCAAGCAATCTCTGCAAAATCTTCATTGATTTTTAGACTTTACACAGGATTAATTTTGCCAGTAATACCTAGTCACATTAGCATTTAAAAGAATTAAACCTTAGGAGTCTGATCTTTGAGATCCATCTCTGGACTTCTAGGGACTCCAAAATATCATGATTCTTCCTCTTGGACCCTCAGCTCTGTCTGAAAATAGTTTTGCAGACCTTCAGAGTGAGGAGGAAGAGTGGTGAAGCTGATTCCCAGACAGAATGCAAAGAGGACATGTTTTCAGATGGTAATGAACCTGGGGGCATCTGTTGAGCTCAGTTAAGAGTCTGAGCTGATGGAAGTCTGCATATGCCTGTGTTCGAGAAGCCAAAATCTGCACACACAGAGGCTTCCATGCTGTTCTTGCCATCCTAGGAACATTTTTTTTTACTTTAATACCCATGCTAATTTGCTTATTATTTTAATGATAACAAGATTTGCAGAGATTGAGAATAAGGATTAGAATCAATAAATAATGGATTTTCCTTTGAAAAACAACTGTTCTGTTTTAGTAAGAAATTTGTCAAGTTTTTAGTTAAATTTGACAAGACAGAGACAACTAATATTTATAGACATTCTTATAGTACCTTGTGAGAAATAGATAGGAACAAAGTGAAGATGTGTACATTTAGAACAAAAAGGGTCTAAAACCTCAGTTACCTGTGTTTGGAGGAGTGGGATGGGAGAGAGTGAGATGTGAGTGGGGACTTTTCATTTGTTAACTCTATGTACATCTGTATTGTTTGAAATTTATTTTACAGTGAATTCACGTATTGTATAATTTTTAAAAAATTAACCTTAAAATGTCAATAATCCCATCCAAATTAAGGGTTATACTTTCTAAGACTAACTGTTTAGCTCAGAGTATTATAATCACTCCAGGTATTTATACTCGAGCCAGTTGATGATTCAGGTGAGTTTAGACTCCATTAAACTTAAACGCTGGGTACTTAGCTAACTCTTTATTTATGCTTTGGGTATTACATAATTTGATGTTTCTGAAAGGACACTTTGCTTTTCTCTTTTCTGAGAGCCTCCCCCTGGTCACCTCATGTTTTCAATACTGTAGATATTTGGGTTGTATTTACATCTGCAATGAATATTTTGCCTAAGAGATTCGTTCTGATATAAAACAGCATGTTAGATTTCCTGAATATTTATGATTCTCAGTTTCAACCACTTCCTGCTGAATAAGAAATCATTTGCCTTGTGAATGAAACTTTGCAGTAACCTCACACTTGTGACAATTAGAACTTGCTGCTGTGATTGGATCTAGCAGCTCATGCAAAGTAGAAATTTTAAGCTGGATGGGTCTTCAGGGTCATCTAGCCCAACCTTTCAGTTCATATGTGGGAAGAATGGCCCAGGGAGCTCAGAGGAATTTCCAAGCTCCCTGTATTACTGTTAGAGGTAAGATGGGAACTAGGCGACAATTCTGGCTCCTTTTGCTTCCTGCCACAAGATGTGCTGAGGAGTCATCCAGGAGTCAGCCTGCTTGCTAAATGTGCATTCTGGAGGCTGGAAACAAAATTGAATCATGTGGGAATTGGGGAATCCAGAAGATAGGAAGTGAAGTTAGTGGAGTAGAATGTGGTGCAAATAGACAATAAAATGCAGATTTAAACTGAGGATACCCAACATCTCTATAATAGTTTCAAAAGATGATTTTCCCCCCTGCTTATAAAAATAATACATGCTCAATTTAGAAAATTCTTGAAAGTACAGAGAAAAAAATTAAAATTACTCCTGATTTCATTGTTAAGAAACAATCAAGATTAATATTTTGGGGATTTTCTTTTAATCATATGCATACATCAAATCTGTTTATATTGCATACATAATTTTGTATCCTGCTTTATTTTATTTAATGTTATGTAATGAGCACTTTCCTATGTCACTGAATATTCTGCAAAAATCTGATTTTTAAATGGCTAAATAATATTCTTGGCATTTTTCTTTGGGTTTTTATTGTTTGACTCATTGAAACTGGACAATGTGGAATAAATCCTGATATAGAATTAGAAGAAAGGGGTGCTAAGTTTCTACGATCTGAGCTGTCAGCCTTGAACGAGTATTGACAGCAGTGGAGAGCTGCCAGTCCTTTGCAATCAGCAGCATGAGGTAGTTTAGAGGCAGGTGACAGAAAGTCAATTCAAAGCCACATGCTTGAGACAATGCAACAGTTTCTTATTTTGTCCTTTCCCATTAACTTACATTTATAATGCAAAACGCTGTTTGGGTCACAGGCTGGTCACTGTAGGCTGCCACTAGATAAAGCCCTCGCGTCCCAAGTGGAAGTGACTCAGAGGCATAACTGACTGACCGTTGGGAATTCAGGCGTTATTCATCCAGCCCACCCTGTCCCCCTTTGACACATGTTTTTTAGACCATGTCGCACATGTTA